AAAAATACCCAAAATCACTTCTTTCTCCTTTCCCATTACTTTGAAGATACGTGAGAGTCACCACATGGATAGAAAAGTCCCTATGGCACCATGTGAATTTAGGGATTAGAAGGCAAGTACCTATGAGTAGTTTTCCTCTTCCAGAGAGGATAACAGTCATTTTCCTTCACCCACTGTGCTGTGCTATTTGCAAGATGAATTTTAGGGGCATCTAGACACCTTCATAAGCCTCACAAATATAAGGACTTCTGTTTCTAGAGGCAGCCTGGTGCTAGAGGTGTTGATATGGGTCACCCCTAGGCAGAATGCTGAGATCATGTGCAATGTTCCCACTGCTGAGCACCCACACCTCAACATGGCCCATCCCCAAAGTACACAGCTACTGAGAAAGCAGAAAGGCAGACGGGTACCATTAGTCACAAGCTTGAAGGATGACTCAGCCTTTCCAGCCTGATTGATGGCTGTCCACTGCCATTAAATAAAAGTCAGTTCACAGGAAACTGGAGTGTGTTTGAAATAACTTTAATCAATGGATGTGCTTGGTGATGCTTTGAACCACCTCTAAGGTCTGACTTGACCCAAAGAGTAATAAACACATTTCACACTGGGAAATTAAAACCCCAAACAACTGGGCCTGTTCTGCAGAGCTGGGCTCTGTTGGATCTATCTGCAGTGTGAGAGTGCTCCAAAACCACTGAATAATTCTGCAAAAAACATAGCAAAAGCTTTTTCTGCAGATGGTACTGACCACTACCAGAGCAGAGGGGACAGTGCAAGCAGACAGGGAGGAAGCAGCCAACAGGGGCTGCAGCTCAGAGCAAGGTCCATGTGCTAATCCTGCTGGGAAGCAATCCCTTGCCCCAGACTCATAAACCAAGCATAGGAGGGGGACCAGAAAAAGAAAGTGAAATAGCTGGGACTTGACAGCAGCTTCAGCCATGCCCACATCCCCAGCCCTGCAGTCAGACCCAGGCAGCACTGGTGGTTGGGCTTGGTGGGTATTGTCCTCTTAAAGACTTGCTCATCCACCGCTCCAAGCTGAGCTGACACTGTTAGCATAGGGAGATAAGAAGCATAATTTACTGTAATGTTTTCCCCCAGGGCTGCTTCACTGTGCCTCAAACGCAGCAGATGAATTCTGTCTGTCAAACCCAGTTATATTTGATTCCATCTCCTGTAGCTGGGATCAGAGGACAGACATTTATCAGGCAAGCAACTGAATTACCAAATTGCATTCCTAAAACAACTGAACAAAAAAGCCCCTCTGTGACGCTGTTCTGGGTGCAGGATATGACCCAAACAGCCACTATTTTTCCTTCCAAATTATATTGAAGCATCTGCTATTGTTAGATCCACCAGAATGACTCCAGCAAAACGGGAGGTATTGAAGAGCAAGCATCATCTCAGCAGAGGCTCACTTCTTAACAACACTCTTAATGCTCTTTCTTCCGTTAGATATTGTGCTTCCCACAAAAACACGTCATTCCTTGAATCTTCAAGTTTCAAGAGCAAAGCCACTTCTGTGCCTATTGCTCCATTTTGCCTCAGGCTAACAGGAAAGAGTACATCTGGGCTTCTTCAAGATCCTGCTTTGTGACAGCTACAGATGGGACAACGGCAGCAGCAGAGCCTATTCTTGATCCCCTTCCTCCCCAGTTACTGTTAACAGCCTTGTGTGAAGTCATCTGGTACAAAAAGCAGAGGAAATTCTGAAGGTCAGGTTTACAGAGCCATACAGCAAGTTCTGCTGGCCAATGTGCATTTGTCTTAATGAGAATTCAGTGAGCAAGTCCCCTAGCATCTTCAGCTGCTGATCCAGCACATGAAAGAGAAGGAATCAGTCTGAAGCAATGTCTACCACCAGAGGATAGTTGGCAAACTTCAGATGAAGCATTTTCCCTCTGATGAGTTTTTCTCAGGGACCTTGCTGAGTTAAACACTGTCCCAGTCAGCAGACAGCCAGTTGGCCCTGGCATAATAGACAGACTTCTATTAGAATAGAATATTATCGGGATAATAGATAGATGGAGGAAACCATGACCAGGCTACCATGCTGTCCAGCAGAACAGCCTATGAGGTTTTGTGCAGTTTTACTTCCAAACTATCATTGTGCTGCACCACAGCCAGGTCCAGGCTCCTGATACAGGGTACATCACTGTGACCTGGTGACCACATGTATCCCTGTAGTGGGATCTTTGCAACTGATGCTTTCCAGGTTGCTCCCTCCCTTCTGACACACACACACACTTGCAGATACTTTTTCTTCAGGACTTGAGAACTGTATTTTCTGTTTAGAGAGACAGTTCTTTCAATACAAAGAATGTTGTATTTACCAAGAACAGAAGAATGGCTGAAAGGGACGAAGAGATCTAGCTGTACCTATTCTGTTCCTGAAGGTTGGCAGCTCCCTCAGGAGTCTACCATGGACTGACTTGTCCATAGAGTCCCATGTTGCCTGTGGAAGAGGAGCTTTTGCTCCTCTCCAGCCCTCCATCTGCCTGCCATGGCTGACAGCCTCAATCTCTGCTGCTCTTTCTGCAGGCTATGATCTGCAGGGTTTAGTATCTCCCTTTGATCCTCAGCTTAGCCTTGGGAAGACTATGCTTTACCAGAGAGAAGGGTGATGCAGAAGCATTCCCCAATTAGTAACTCCCTGCTTTGCTCTTGTACAGGCTGGTACTCTTGCTGGTCTGGCTTGGCTTTTTAACAGCCCTTTTGATCTCACTCCTGCACAGTTACTCATCAGAGAGGAAGGGAGATGAGAGAAGAGTACCCACTGGACATAAACATGTTTCCCCTAATTGTGCTGGCCTAAGTGACATGAGAGGTACCTTTTATTTGGGACAGGTCCGCCCTGACATGAACACCATTCCCCAGTACACTTCACCCACCTTAAGGCAGACTTGTAGGATGCTCATCCCCTTTGGCTTTGCACAGCCAACAGAGAGTTTAGCTGTTCCCAGAGCATGGTTCAGGGCACTTCCATGCTCTCTATGGACCTGATACAGACAGCAAGGTGTTAGCAAAGGCAACTGAGATCGTAAGTGAAGTAGGCAATGTGATCTCTGCTGTGTTCCTAAAGGTGCCATTTTTCAGCAGAGATATCAAAGCAAGGTCTTGATTACTTGTAATAAATAAAAAAAAATCCTATTTTAAATATTCTGCAAGGGGAAAGTTCTCATCCCCAGGGCAATGACAGCTACAGACAGGACAATGGCAGCATTTTCCTATGAGTGGAGGTGTCAGCCTCATTGTACTGACTATATTTTAGCCTAAATTATTACTAAAAAGCATGATGTTTTTTTTTGTTTTTTTTTTAATATGATGCCAACCTTTTCCAGCTCAAGGCCTTGTAGATGCTGCACAAAAACTCTGTAGAAAGAAGGAAGACGAGTGTTAACCAGATCACACCAAAAATAACTTCATAGCTTAACAGGACAAAATACACCTGTTGAAGTGCTAAAAGTTGGATTCCCAAATCCATCTTTAAGCACTACATTGAAGTGTACCTGGTTAATGAATGATGTATTTCAGAGCCCATCTGAGCCAATCAGATCTGCAAATTGAGTTTTGGTTTCCCAGCGGGCATAAGTAATGGTGATGGGATCAGCTTACCACTACATCAACGGTAAATAGGTGATTACTTTTTGATGCATTCATTAAACATTTAACCAGATTTATATGTGTGAGTGACATATAAAAAGGTAGTTTTAACAGGTTCATTTGGGATTCAGATTGCAAAGATGTTAATTGACATTTAATAGTTTTGTAATTGATCGCTGTCATCTTAAATTGTGGAAGACTGCTAAAACATATTTCAGTTCAATGGAAAATTGTACAGTGTAATGTAATATTAAACATATAATCAAGATACACATTTATTGCAGCTATATAATGCTAAACTAAGCTACTCAAGAAGTTATTTGCTAGTTCAAAAATGTATTTTGTTTCAAACCACCCACAGTATTTCAGTAGGCAATAGTTTTACATGGCAACTAAGAAAATGAGCTTATATGTACTAATGGGGGCTACATAGTGATATAATATGTGTGCATTCCTAGCTCATTGCTGGTTTTAATAATTAAGCATGTATCAGCATATTTACAGAAGCCCAGATGCTGACTTTTGTGGGTAGTGATGTGCATGAAACAGCTCAATTATTATTATAATTGCCTGGTGCTTATGCATTTGTAGCTCTTTTCAGTGACACGGAACTACAGCAGGCTGTAAGCTGAAAGCCTGTCTGTTGCTTGTCTGGGTATTTCTGAACAAACATATGTCCAGGTAAAACATTTCTGGTACCTTGGAGCAGGACACTGAAATTTAACATGTGCTTGGTTTTTACAGTGAAGATACATCATTTGTTGGTTTTATGACAATCCAGCGTAATTCAGGCTGTAAGAGGCATGGTGACCCAGCGGAGGTGGAGAGCTCTTTCTACTTGACTACAAAAATAAGAAGGAAAGTGTATTAAGAGGGCTTGACTGCAATAATTACTTCCAAACATCACTGCTTGCATCACAGTGAGCTAAGCAGGCAGGCAGGGCAGCTCTTGACCCAGCATACAGTGTTTGCATTTACACCCTTCTCCCTTCAAGTCGAGCCCCCGAGATGAGTATGAGGTTACCTGCAGGAGGGCAAGAAACTGCCTTGCAGAGCATTGACTCAACAGGGAGGGTTTGAAATAACTTCTCTGCCTAGCATCCTCTGGAGCTTTAACATCAGTGGAGACAAGGCCTAATTTCTCCATAGGTGCATGAGCGGGATTGCTGCTCTGGGCTGTAAGTTGTATCAGCTCCACTGGTTATTCCACCTGATATCATCAGATGCACTGAACTGTCAGAGGCATCACTGTTTGTCCATGTCAAACCATCTTCTAAGGCTTTTAATAACTGAACTCCCTATATTGAGCTGCAGTCTGATTGTGTAGTTTTCTTCCCTGTGTAAGTAATCTGTCTCTGATGCCTATTTCTAATGCCTTTCTCCCATGCCTTTTTCCCTCACTGACTTTTGGTCCTGAAAAATGAGCAGCCACTCTTGATCATCTAGAGTTTCAATCTGAAAAGCCATATGACAGCAGTGCCATTCCATGTTTTTTCTTAGTGATTTTTAAAGGGATACTGTCAAACTGAATCTGTACAGACTGAATTTGGCTCTTTTTCTATGTGTTGTGAAATTCCCATTATTTGCCAAAGAAAATACTAAGAGAAGGGATTGTTAGAGGTCAGTAAGGGCTGGGAGACTAATATGTCTGAGTCCTCGATTTCCAATCTGCCCTATAGTGGTGCTTTTAGTTGGTATAGAAAACATTTAATGTATTCCAAGGCTTGGGCTTGATACGAACATGTTCAAGATTTCAGCATTTACAGATGCCTGATCCTGTTTTCTGTGCCTCTGGAGTTGATGCATTCAGTCTGCCGCACACATGCAGCGTACCCGAGCAGCTCATTCTGAACAGCAAACAAAGAAGTGCTTCCCCACCAACGGCCACTTGATTGCTCACAAAAGCTGCGGAACAAGTTAAAGTGTTGACAAGACTGGCAAGTCCCAGGGTGACCTGGGAGTGTTGGAAGACTCAAAACTCAATTATAATTCATGTTTGTTTGTTTGAGTTATTTAATTTTGATGACTTATGAAACTCCTATGTTTAGATCCAGGCATATAGAAGAGGTTTTAGACAAACAAATTATTGTAATTAACTGCTCCCATAATGCCACTGCAAATGCACAGTAACCCAGAAACAGTACAAGTACCTAGGCAGCCAGCCAGCATACCTCTTTTCTCAGCAATGAGCTTTGTGGGAACTCTAAAGATTGGCAAACATGGACTATTTGCAGCAACAGAATGGTCTCACACATTGCCTTGGGTCACAGGCTGAGCTGACTGCAGATCTGAAAACATGCAGGAGAAGGCAGCAATCCTCTTTCTGTCCTTCTTTTGCTCTAGATCATCTCACTTTCGTTGCCAGAACAAGAATACAGCTGGTCTCTGCTCCTCTAAGACCTATGTTGATTATTCGAGATGAAAGGGAGGAATAAGATCCAAACCCAGTGCAATGGGTATAATAGGGACAGCTGGAGTATTCCTGCTATTCACAGCTGGTACAGAAGTGCACACACAAGAACCAGTTTTGTCAAAGTCACCTAGGAAGACATGGTGCAATTAATGTGTAAACTGTTAGCTGAGGCTGTGAGATGGTCTGCCTGCCTCTTTGTAAGTCTGCCAGGTAGGGACAGAACAGGCTAGTGAACAGAAGCTATTCCAACTGTGGGTTACTGGACCTGAAGCACAAGAATAGGGTCTGCTGCTGCCCATGTGCTTGCTCCCTGGAAGCCAGGTGCTGTGGGCATCAAAGGCATTCAGGGCTTCTGCAAGCTCCCATGGGCTGGAGGGCAGGTCTTCCCTGCTATAAACACGTGAGCTTATGACCAAAGTGAAGACTATGCTAAGAATCACTAAGGTTGTATATTTCATTCATATTGGCAAGTTCTCATATTCTCTCACGGGTTATAGAATAGTTAGGGTTGGAAAGGACCTTCAGATCATCTAGTTCTAATCCCCCTGCCATGGGCAGGGACACCTCACACTAAACCCTGCCACCCAAGGCTCTGTCCAACCCAGCCTTGAACACTGCCAGGGATGGAGCATTCACAGCTTCCCTGGGCAACCCATTCCAGTGCCTCACCATTCTTACAATAAAGAACTTCTTCCTTATATCCAGTCTAAACTTCCCCTGTTTAAGTTTTAACCCTTGTCCTGTCACTGCAGTCCCTAATGAAGAGTCCCTCCCCAGCATCCCTACAGCCCCCCTCAGATACTGGAAGGCTGCTATGAGGTCTGCACTCAGCCTTCTCTTTCCCAGGCTGAACAGCCCCAACTTTCTCAGCCTATCTTCATACGGGAGGTTTGGGTTGGAAAGGACCTTAAGCTCATCCAATTCCAACCCCCTGCCACAAGCAGGAATACATTCCACTAGAGCAAGTTGCTCCAAGCCCCATCCAACCTGGCCTTGAACCCTGCCAGGGATGGGGCAACCACATTGTTATGTATTTATTATCAGGAAAAAAAACTCATTTAGCACATTTCAAGAATTAAGCCTTAGTACATTTGTTGACTGCACCTAGGGCTATTGCCAGTAGCAACAGTGACCTGAGACTGTACAACACTCTGCACTCCTCTTTCATTGCAATACATCTTCACCAGGGGAATACTACACTGGATTTTAAAGTAGTTGATGACCCTCCTTAGCTCTGCTTTAGAGCAGCTTGAGAGCTTAACACAGAGATGGAGAATTACAAAACTCTACAGGCTCCAGAAATAAAGCCAATTGGTTATTTACTCCCACTAATGGAGGCTGCTTAATTCTCTAGGGTAAATCATTTTTTCATTATATTTATTCCTTGTGCTGATGTGTGAAATTCTGGTTAATGCTATGGCATTTCACAGATATGTTTACTATCCCATGGGCTGTGTTTCTGCCAGTCACATGGGTGCTATGGAGGAGAGACTGATTGTTAACAGGTAAAATTAAACTGAGCATACCTGTAATGTAGATGGAGAACAAAACCACTTATGCTCCGTTGTTCTTGCCACCAGAACAAGGGAATCACTCCTGTGCATGTTCCTGATAAACAAATCAGAAAGCAGAGATGAAAATTTGAGTTTTCCAATTAAAAACTCTGCTTATTGATTCCTCTTCCAAGTTCAAGCCATTGCTCAAGAGCTCTGCACAGTGGACGCTGCCTATGTCCTCACAAGAAGAATTAAATCCAAAGAAAAATAAGGTGGAAAAGAAGCTAAACCCTGGTCAGATTAAGGAGGGCTTATTTTCTTAGACATTGTTCTGTATTGTCCTCTACTGCCCCATGTCACAGTTCAAGTAGTCATCCCAGGCTGCTGCTCTGGATCATTGCTCAAGAGCACTCATGCTTGTAGAGGAGACACTGGATCACAGTGAACCATGCGCATTGTCAGAGGGTTGTGCAGAAAAGCAAGCAATGAGACCACCAGTGACGGCGCTTTGATGCTCTTGTAGGTGCCTAGTTGTGAGTCTTGACTTCTTGCTGTTTGAGACCAACCTCCCAGTAATTCAGCGTGCCTCCCTGAAGTCCAAATGTGGATTTAGTAGAGTTCTACCCTATGAAAGATCATTCAGGAGCTCAGAACTGTAGCAGAAGGGGACTTTTGCAGCAGGGGATCATTGAACACTTGACTTAAATGCAAACTTAAGAAAGTTGCTTTGAATACCAAATTTCTTCTCACGGCCTCACCAAATGCCTGGTGATCTTACCCCCAGTGGAGAGCTTTCCAGAGCAGCTTCACTCATCTGATTTTTACTACCTTTATGTATCAACTGTGACGAAGTGACTACAGATCAATACAACAGAGAGTATTTTTATTCTGACGTGATGTGAAGGCAAGCAGACTGGCAGAATTTAAATGTTCTTGGGACTTTGTCCTCAATAAACACCACTGCGAAACGCTCCAACGCTGCTTTCTGAAAGTTGCACCACAAGCTTTAGAAGGTGCTCAGGTAAAATGTAAATAATTACCAGCTCTCAGAGGCTCATCCAGGCAGGAGAGATGCCAAGAGCTTGTGTGTTTATTTTCAGATCTATTGGGAAATTTCCCAAGAGCATGAGCTCTCAGACATGTAGTCAAAACATCCAGTGATAACTGTCTCCAGAACATTCAGCAGCTCTTTGACTGACATATTTCTCATCAACAAGTTGGCTTTGTTTACGCGCCTCCGAGAAGTACATCAGCAACGATGGAAAAAAAAATACAGCAGACTTTTCTGTTCTTAGACTTTCCTCTTCTGGCAAGATGGGTTTTATTTCAGGAAGTGTTACCAGCCCAGATTTGCTAGCATTAACCAGCTGGGCTATGCCGAAATGGCCATGCAGAACAGCTTGTAAATACTCCTTGAGGAGTTTTCCAGCAGCTCTGATCTGAAGCAGGATCAGCAGAAGGTAAATAAAGCTGCCTTTTGGGTTTGTTTTTCCCTTTCAGCCCACCTCTGCTTTCTGGACTGAGCATGTTTTGCCTCTTTTGTCAATCCCACCTTTCAGGAAAATCCCATGAAATACGTGCACAAATCCCAGTACACTCCTAGAGCTGACAGACCCGATTTTACTTCGCCTGATTGTATACAGTTATTTCTTATCAGATGGACCAACCCTAACAAACCCTCCTCCTTCCTCTCTTGCCACATCTACAATCCTGCCAGGGATTGCCCAGGCTTTACTTAAAACATGCTGCTGAGACAATTCATCACCAGCTCCATCCTAGTTTACCCATCCCCAAAATATCTGTTACATTGACTTACTCACAGGGTTGCTGCAGAACTTAGTTTATTTATGGACACACTGAAGTATTTTAATAGCTCACCTCACAGGCCTTCATCTGTTCTCTTCCATAATAGTAGCTAAATACGCACATACCAAGATGCTAGAGGGAAGAAGTCTTTTCTTGCCATATTAATCCATGCAGTGAGACCAAAACCAGACTAAGGAGAATAGTGGGTATTGCCATGAATTCTAGCTCAGACCCAGTTTCCAATGAGGTGAACTATCTCCTGTCTACCACCTCCCTTGGACTCAGTTCTGTCAGGGTCACAGCTTCAAACATACACAAAAGAAGGCATGAGGATTGGACATGTACAAGAAGAGAACAGCTATGGAAGTTCCAACAGAGAGTGTCAGCAGATGGCTACACACAGAAGATTAGAACATTATTTTGGGCGGGGGGAATACCAAAAGCTGAGGGTGGAAACCACAGGGAATGCAAATAAGGCCTCTTACTCTCACCTCCATTTCAGCTTGAAGGTACTGGGGGAGCAGATGCCTTCTGCTGGCACGACAGCTGCTCAGGGAAAGAGGAACCTGCTCAGCTGGGACAGATGAAAATGCCCTAGAAGAACTTCTAGAAACTACAACACCAAAGAAGACTCTTCCTGAGGGATGGGGTGAGATAACTTCACCAGTCTTACCTGCTCCTCAGTCTGCCAACACACAGCACCATTTTGCCCCCACACACCGTATGAGCTTCCAACTGCTGCAGATCTCCCTGGTGAGAAACCATGAATTTGATAACTTCCAGCCCAGAGGAAGGAAGCGCTTCTTTTTCACCCCAGACTCCTGAGAGTTATCAATCTAACGATGAGAGCACCAGAAACCACTTTGCCAATTGTCCCCATTGCCCTGGGCCAGCTCTGGGTGGATCTGACCCACAGCCTGAGCAACCTGCTTGCTCCAGCAAAGCCACCTGCTGTCCCTCACAATAAGTCAGTAAAACCTCAGAGTTAGTAACCAAGAAATGCTATAGGAAAGTCTCCCATATAATCCAGCAATTAGGAAGATTTCTGTTTTCAGCTCACAGCTAGTGAGAGTTCTTGAAAACAACAACAAAAAGCTGTTTTGGAACAGAAAGAAGGACAAGCTGTTTCAGTCATCATTTTATTACTGACTCACAAGGGAAATCAGTGAATCTACCAGTGGTTCATGCAATTCTGTTGCCAGCTTCTCAGAAAGGAAATGTCATGTTATAGCAACTTGTTTTTCTATTGCAGCGATTAAAGTACATAGGAGGCCACAACAAAATCAATACAAAACTGGTAAATCCGTAATGAATGACAGCAAAATACTGATCTTCTTGCCTAAAGAAACAGCTGTCTAAATGCCACCACAGGGCTAGGCAGTAGAAGGCTTTTCTGGTTTATTTTTGAAGGGTCTGCCATTCTTTCTCTCTTATTTATGTAGAGATCACCAAATGGCCTCATGCTTATGGCTTATTGTGTTTGAGTTTCCCCTGAGGACATTATGGGTAAGTGTGAATTTTCAAGGCTTGAGCTGTCCCTGTGGGCAGTGCAATTTATGGTCCATGAGGCACGTGCCTGGGCTGCTGCTGGTGAGACTCCTGCAGAGGCTCACCAGGGAGCCAGCAAGGCAATATACAGATTGCTCTGGGGCTGTCTGTGTAAATGAGGCCTCATGCTTTTGCTGTAGGCTTCAGGATCCCATAATCCATGGTTTACGTCAGGATGACACCAACTTCTCTCAGCTCATCTGAGAGGATTGGCATGTGAGCCGTGATCAGTGCGCCAGAGACAGATACCAACTTCTGAACTCACAGCAAGAATACAGCAAGGTTTAAAACACCAAGATGTTTTCAGCCGTGGAGAGGTCCTTCTGCATATGACTGTTTTGTATCTTACCCCCATGCTGAAGGTTTAGAAGGCAGCACTTCTTCAGCCTTCTCCATGGGGGCTGTCTCTGTGGTATCTGTCCTTTCTGAGCCACCCTTGCATAGTCCTGTTTTTGCCATCTGCTGTTTGTACTTCTGTATCCAGAGGAATCTTCACAGCTAATTGTGCACATACAGTTTTTCCCCTTTCTATGGTATTTATAGGTAATTTACTTAGGTAGAGGCCAGCTATTGCCACTGACAGCTTTTTGTCAGACCTGTGAAGCAATATACAGTACGAGATGCAGTAAGCCAGTACAGCATGGTCTCGGTACCCAGGTCATATCTAGTGCTCATAAATAATTGCAGATCAGCTCCACAACCTTCACAGATGCAACCTCATCTGCTGTTGGGTTTTTCCTTACTTTTTTATTCATTTTAATTGCCACCTGCTCTTCCATCAGAACTGTGGCCAAATGCCTTTTAAAGCAGAGCCAGCTAATGCTTTTGATTGTAGCAGGACCTTTACTTATGCGCTGCATGCTGCTACATTTGTGTCTGGTGGGGGATTTTGTTTGGACTTTATCAACAAAGTTGTTTTCTAGTGCTGGAATGGCTTGATCTGCTGAGCTGAACTCTCATTGTGTCTGTCACATGCTTATCTTATTTCAGCAGTGAGAAATCAATGGGAATTGATTTGAGTATGTCCAATCTTATCAAGTATCGAGTAGGGTGCTGGGGCAAATGCTGAGTTGATGGTATAACATTTAAGAAGACATGTATCCAAGTATGACAACCTTGTTTATAAAGGATGGTTGGACTCCAAGGTGTTAAACATGTTTGTTCCTCTCTATGCCCTTGGCTTTCAGATGCTGCCAATTTCCATAGCAGCTCTCTCAGCGAAAAGCAGAATGCAAGCACACTCCGTAGTCCTAGCAGAAGATAACGTAGGGAAAAAAGTATTGCATTTAGAAGCATAAACGCTGCCAACAAATGCTATTTCAGCAATTACGTATGTTTAGTAATTATGCTAATGCTGATTCTCAAAAGGCTGTTATTTGCTCAGCATGTTCTTCATACTTTATCTCTTTACCTGCCTAACCCTTTATTTTCACTCTAGCTATTACTGGTTGTTTGTCAAGTTAAGTGATGTTTGCAGCGCCAAGTGTTGTCAGGCTTTAGCTGAATTCCTGTTTTTCCAACACTGGCTGCCGTGATTTTCTGCTCATTGCTACAACAAGGCTTTGGGGATTGGATTTCACTGCTTACAGGAGACCTTGGGTGCTGCAGGTGTAATTGGTACCTTGGGCTGCAGGATGGATGAACAGCTCCTGGGGTCTATAAAACCACATTTGATGAAGTGTGATGGGCATCAATTTGTAGGTGTTGAACTGACAGACATGGGGAACCTCTATGTTCCTATATTGCTGAATCATCACTCCACCTTGAGCCAGTGGCTAGCAGACAGCAACAGAGAATTAACCATGGAAAGACCCACAGCACACACTACCATTAATATGACCACAGCAAAGTTTAAGTGACAGAAATACCCTACCTGAAGCAACCTGACCAGTTAGATTTGAGCAGATACCTAGGGAGATGCTTGCACATTTAGATGTGTAACTGATTGATAGCCCACATCCTATAGAGGAGTATCTGTGTGTGTACGTACATATATGTGTGTGCATATGTCTTGTATGTGAATATGCAAAGTACTCAGTTACCTGTAGGTGCAAAGCAAAATTGCACAAGGGCCAGCACACTTTAAAGTGGATGAGGCCCAATGGAACATAATGGGTTAGAACCAAAGCCATACCCTCAGGAGCATACATACTTTTATCTGTTGGCCTCAGCAAGCTGCTCCACCTGAAGATGTAATGACAGAAGAGAAACATGCAGTATGCGTGGAACGCAAACACTGAGAAGCACTGATCTGGGGGTAGAAAATGGAAAAGCCCAACTCCAGAAAGATATTCTGCATGCACAAGGCTGGCAAACAGTACTTGAAAAGGGCCAGTTTCAGAGGCAGGACAGTGCTTGTGCCTAACAACACAGCAGTGTGCACCTGAGCCTAAAACCATAATGAGTTTATCAGTGCTCAGCAGTCCCTAATGAGAAGTCTGTGTTGCTTCCAGGTCCCAGGTAGGCTTCCAGCACGGTTCTGAATGGTGTTATACTGCTGCCTCCTCACCTTCTCCTCACGCTCTCGGCAGATACCTGCTGTCCAAAATCTTTACAGCAATCCCCAGTTTTGGCCCAGGCTACAACCCATTTCTAGAGAATTCCCATGAAGGATTTATGATTTAATGTTAGAGCTGTTTCAGCAAGCACTCTGCCAGCAGCAGCCTACACTGAAGGAGAAAATAGCTAAATGGTATGGAGATGAGCCTGCCAGCCTCGGCGTTAGACAGTGACACCAAGTATACTTAATTTACCAGCATAAACACGGCTTTTGAGAGCTTGACTTCACATTGCAGCCTCTCCATAACATACAGCAGTTTCAAACACAGGGTGCTTCACTGTACACATGAATAAACTAATTTGTTCTACATTTAGTGTCAAGTAACAATTGCATATTCCTTGAACTTTGTGGGCTACAACTTTCTTCATTGATTTATTGATTTCTTCCTGTGGGTCGAGGAACAGATCAGGAGCCCTCCTGTGGTTACTTTAGCATCTATTAGCTTTTTATCAACTTATTTGTAAATTAATTGCTAGGAGACTTTTAGAAGGAAGAAATTACATCTGATGCTCAACAGCCTTCACGGAGCAAAATCAAACCTACAAAGAGGAGCAATACTCCCTTGCAGAGATGTGCAACGTCCATTATCAGCAATGTTAGCAGAAAGCCAGCTTGTTTAAATGGTCAAGATTTAAGGTACAAATAGGGCTGACTTGGCATACATGTTCATTAACTTGAATGTGGGAGCTCTGAACTGAAGAAAGAACTGATTAAGCTCTAATTGTATCTTCTTTAAGGGGGCATTTTGAACAGCTAACCCTTTTGTATGGTGGCTCTTGTTACACATATCACGTCCTCCTATGGATAAACAGTCCTTTATCTCACTTGTCTTTTCGGTTTTCCTTCCTTTGTGAAATGCTGGATCTGATTTCAGTTCTAATGTGACACCCAGCATACAATGACTCAGAATTTAATAGATCTTCCTTGTTGCCTCTTTCCTCTTGGGAAGTCTTCGACAATGAAACCCTTGAAGACGTTTTAAATGACCAATACAGAGTAGTGCTCTTTAACGGTGCAATCAGAGATGATTTACTGGATGCATTTTGGGATGATTGCAGCATGTGTTAAGGGACTGTTTCAGAAAAAGAGGAGAAAGTTGCTCAGATTTGTTGGCCTCCCCCAAAGGGCAATGAGCAGCAGTAGGAGCACTGACCGTAGCTGCCACTATTATTACAGAATATGGAGTATCCATTAAAAGACAGCAAAGCCAGTATGTCAGGTATTTAGGAAGTTTCCACTCATTGCAGGACCAGCACAAAGCAGAGACTAGTGATGGATTATGTTGACCTATTTCCTAGACTGGGGAACTGAATCATATTTGCTATTTGCACACTCATTATTTTCACCAAATGCCTCTGCAGATGCAGTTACCTGCTTTGCACATTTAGTGGAAGCTCAGTTTAAGTGCATCTATCTTGTATTAAACTTAAGTTCTTCTACAACGTTATTCTTTTGTCTCAGGGCCAGCTGCCACACTCCACATGTAGAATATATTCAGGGTAACAAGAAGGAACAACAAAATACACTGATCAGTGGCAGGTCTTGTCTGTTATGCTTTCAGTTTATTCCACCTACTTTGGCTTAGCACAGTTGTATAGTTTAAACAAACTGAAGAAGCTTAAATCAACCTTTTTCCCACTCTGTGAGAGCATCTTGGACCAAGAT